AAACGTCTTGCTATTTTGTTATGTAGCCATTTAATTCATCAGGTAAAAGAAAATTCTCAAAATAAATTAAAATAAATACCTTCGGAATGTTAAAATAAAACACAGATACACTTAACTAAACATTTAATTACTGTCCATCATCTTCACAGCAACAACCGTCAGCATCAATCTCCACACCACACATCCGTAGCAGAAAGACACAGCAAGTCACACATAGCAGGCAACGCAAAATCTTCCCACACGAACCACAGTTACAATGGCACGAGATACACATGTTTACACACACTTAATTGCACTATCCCTAAATTGCAAAATCACTTTTCAGCAACAAAATTCTCCGAGACTATCACCTAAATTGCTAAATTGCAATATAGTTTTTCAAATGTATTTTGTTATTTTATTAAAGGAAACAAGTTTACGGTACCGCGGTCAGCGGTATAGTGACGCATTCATTTGTTTGTTTTAGTATTTGTGTGTGTTGACGGTGTGTAAAGTTATCATGACTATCTAAGGTGAAACTAGGTGGACTTGAATATAAGATAACAGCTGTCGACTATGAGTAATATTGTGAGTAGTTTTTGTTTCTTAGATTTTCCTGAGATTGATATTAGTGTTTTCGTAAATTTAATAGCCTGTAGTAGGGAACCTGTATAAGGAAAATCTAAGTTCTTAGACTTGTTTGTGTAACATGACAAGAAGTAGGTAAATAGGTTTATACTATATATGTATATTTACTGATTAAATTTGTATTAAGTGTAGGAGCCTCGGACAAACAGAAAAACGGCGTGAAATAAATACAGCGTTGTGTTTCGCTATGTGAGGAGGCTCAATCCTTACCCTCCCCTAATCCAAGCAATCGGCAATCGGCAACGCACTCGTAACTCCTCCGTGGTTGCGGGTATCCATGGGTGGCGCGGATTGCTTACCATCATGTAATCCGTTTGCCCCTAACACATAAGAAATATAGTAGTAAAACGATGAATAGGAGGTTCGTTTGGCCTTCAACTTGATGAGTTATTCTCAGTTAGTTCACGTAATTGAATTGTTAATTTATAAATAGGAGTAAGTCAAGTTAGAAATAGAAATAGAAATAGAAATCATTTATTTGCAAAAATGTATGTTTACAAAAAAGGATGGACAATTTTATATGGTCTCAATACATTTCACCTTACGGTATGCAAAGTATCAATTTACAATTAATAAACTAGTCACAAATTAATAAGATTTTTTTGACATAATAGAGTAAAATACTCTATCGTATCAAATATTAAATTAATAAAAATGTCAAAGAAGAATAAAAATTGAACAAACTTCTTAATAAAATTATTTACATCATAAAAGGTCAAAATTAAATACTACAAAACATGTTTAGCATAAATAACACAAATCGACCAAATTAAAAATTAGATTCTCACATTTAAAAAGGACAAATACACACAGAAAAAATCCTACAATGAACACAACATATAATCTATAGTTTTATCATTTAAAAAATCATTTATGGTGTAGTAGCATTTATCTTGCAGCAGTTTGACTAATTGGTTTTTTAACCTATTTATGGGCAACTCTTTTAAAGTTTGAGGAATCTTGTTGAAAATGAGAGGACCCATGTGTAAAATATTCCTTTTCAATAGAGCTGTTTTATGACCACCTGTATATAATTGATTTATATATTGCGACCTCATAGGTCCCGTGCGATTTCTTATATCCGACATTGACGTGAATAGGTGTTGATTCGATTTCACAAATAGTACTACTTCTAATATGTATAAAGACGGTAACGTTAGAATTTTTAAAGATTTAAATTTTGCCAAACAACTTTCTTTAGATTTTAGTCCGGTCATAGAACGAATGCATCGCTTTTGAGCTTTAAATAAACGTTCCTTTTCGCTACAGTTACCCCAGAATATTATTCCGAATCTTAGTATTGAAGCTACTAAGCCGTGATAGGCTGTTACTAGAGTATTCACATTTAACTTTTTCGATAGGTTATAAAGTATAAAGGCATATTTACTTAATTTTTGGGATAAATATTCTGCATGAGGATTCCAAGTCAATCTATCATCTATATGGACTCCTAAAAATTTTGTTACAGAAGTCGTATCTATTATTTGGTCTTTATACATTATTAATATATTTTCTGTCTTTTTCCTTTGGTGAAAATGCATGACTTTAGTTTTTTGTAAATTAATTATAAGATTATTTTTATGTAGCCAGTTAATGACTGACTCAAGTGAATTGTTTATTTCTTTTTCATAGTTGGTTCTATCACCGCATTCAATAGTCACTGTGCTGTCGTCTGCAAATAGGGTCATTGGTTGATCAATTTTAGATGGTAAGTCATTTATGTAAAGTAAAAATAATAACGGGCCAAGCACACTGCCTTGTGGCACTCCAAATTTAGTATCTCTGCAGTCTGATAGGTATTTGATCTCACGTTTAGATTTGGTACAAATTCTTGTTATTTCTGTCTGTTGTTTTCGTTCAGTGAGATAAGATTCAATTAAGTAAGTTGCCTGGTTGGTTAAAATAAATCATGATCACGGCTTCGATTTTGTGTTCTGTTCATGTAATAAAGTTAATCAAAGTTTTATTAAGGTATTCTTAATAAAATCCATCTAGAATGAGAATGTCTTGGTAAGAATATAAACACTAAGGAATATAGGAAAATACTATTACGTAAGTACCTAATCAAATTCTTTACGATTCTCATCATTTTATCGCCAATTTTAATACCTATCTGATAAGAAGGAAATGCAAACTTGAGTCATTCTTCTAAAAACTATGATTCATAACAAAACAATTTCCTCATGATTAGGTTCTTTTATTTCCTGTAAAAACATTACAATTTGTAAAACAATCAGTATTATAAAAAAATACTAAACGCTTCAAAAAGTTTTGAAACATCAAGATCAATATCTTGTTGTCGCAATTTCAATTATATTTCTTTTTACTTCATAATTTTACTCGTAACTCTCATCTCCCAGACAAATTTCTTCACAATCTACCCCAAACATTTGACAACACCACACGCACAAATATATGCATAAAACGCACCGAAGGCAACGGGAACATAAATTGTTACCGCAAAAGCAACACATTACGAAAACCAATTGTTGCTGATATTACTGCAATTCATACTATCACAATGTTGCTAATTTTTTATATTCTTGACATGAATTGTGATAGTCACAGACGTTTATTCTAAATAACTATCACAATATTGCCCAATAATCACAATCTTCGAATACTAATCGTGATAGTTGCTTTAAACTATCATAGAATTGCTCCGCGCACATAAAATAGCAACGATATTGATATTCGATTGGCAGATTCTTTTCAATATTAAAATTCCGTAGGTATATGTATCGAAATTTTAATAACGACAATTAATTGTTGATAAATAATATTCTTTAGAAAATTATAAATATAATAAGTTGACATTTATCATTATGATGCAACAATGACTTATAATCATACTCTATATTTTTATAGTCTTTGGAAATGACAGAAAACAAAAACAGCATGTTCAAAAGAGTTTTTTTGTAATACTTAATGCTTGAGGTGTGTTTCACAATGTCTCAAATCTATACTATCTAATATTAAAAAGAGTTAAATGTGGGAGAACCATGTTTCGGCAAGAATGGGTCGGCTCGACCGAAATTGTACCACGGCCTCACAGAAAACTGGCGTGAAATAACCAAAGAGTTGTGTTTCGCCGTGTGAGTCAGGTTACCGGAGGCCCAATCTTTCCCCTACCCCAATCCGTTCCCTTTCCCAAAATCTCCAAATCCCTAATCCCCAAAAGGTCGACAACACCTCCACCACCACGCTGATTGCGTACCATCAGGTAATCCGTTCGCTCGTTTGCCGCCCTATCACATAAAAAGTGTAGTAAAATTGGGAAAAGCTTGATTTAACACAATACCCGCTCAAACTAGGATTTTTTTCTATGTCGTTTATTACATATCATACCCAAACCCAGAACTGTTGATGGATCATTGAGAGCATTCTATGCACAAGTGGGCTTTCTTATAATCTCCACGCTTAGTTAACAGTTTGGGGATGGCAGTTCGCTCAAACTAGGCTTTTTTATGTCGGGGGTGCGTTTTCGAACATGCCTTTTTATTACACATCACAACCAAACCCAGAACTGTTGATGGATCATTGAGAGCATTCTATACACAAGTGGGCTTTCTTATAATCTCCACGCTTAGTAAACAGGTTGGAGATAGCAGTTTTATAGGAGCAGATTAAATAAGAAATCGCCAGTATCTTGAAATTTTTTACACAATATCCTTTATTTGAAAAACACGCCATTAATCTAAACAATTCCTTTCAGATCTCAGGGAACATACGCCCTGACCTATTGTTAAAAGTGTTGATGCAGTTTTTTACGTAAGTACGTACGTAGTAAGTTTGTATGTGGGGGGTAATCTTTAGAACCGCTGGCCAAATTGCCAAAATTCTTTCACTCATGGATAGCTGCAATGTTCCTGAGTGCTATAGGCTATAAAACATTACGCTACGATCAAATGGAGCTGAGCAGCGGGTGAAACGCGAGGGAGTAGCTAGTGTATAATAAGATCCATTAAATAGTGGAGAAATTGAGTATCGGCATTGCACTGGCGGTTTGCTTTAGGAAATAAAACAGCGTCAATGTAAAATGAACACATATATATTGCCAATCATGTGGTGTGCTTTCTCCAGTGTATATTGAAGCCGGTGTCTCGAAATAACTGGTCGATATCTTCTTTATCCAAGTTTAGGGAGGCCTGAAAACAATATGTTAGTTTCCGAAAGTGTGATTACCGGGTTTTTCGAGAGTTAAAAATCGTCAAATCGCTTCTCCCGCCCTGGGGTAAAAGGAAGCGTCATATTCTTACTGACTAAAAACTAAACCCTTCTCCTAATCCGGGGAGGGGTTTTTTGTGAGGGGAACGTTATCAAATGTCTTTCGCCCAGAGTGGAGCGAGGGAGAGTGTCAGGCTCTTACTGACTTAAAACCGCCCCAGTTCCTTTTCCTGCTCTAGGTCGAGACCGCGGTACATTCTTGCGCTAGCCCCGCGATCGTAGCTGAACTTCAGCTCTAGCTCTATACGTTGGTCTATTGGGTCTTCGAAGCGCACACGGAACGCAACGCGCCGTACGCTCTGGTCTGATTCTGGTCCGTGCCACTGGTAATTACCAGGTGAAGTCTAAATAGACCCCTTGTCAGGGCAAAATGCACAGTTACGTGTAAATACCTTCGGTATGTTAAAATAAAACACAGATACACTTAACTAAACATTTAATTACTGTCCATCATCTTCACAGCAACAACCGTCAGCATCAATCTCCACACCACACATCCGTAGCAGAAAGACACAGCAAGTCACACATAGCAGGCAACGCAAAATCTTCCCACACGAACCACAGTTACAATGGCACGAGATACACATGTTTACACACACTTAATTGCACTATCCCTAAATTGCAAAATCACTTTTCAGCAACAAAATTCTCCGAGACTATCACCTAAATTGCTAAATTGCAATATAGTTTTTCAAATGTATTTTGTTATTTTATTAAAGGAAACAAGTTTACGGTACCGCGGTCAGCGGTATAGTGACGCATTCATTTGTTTGTTTTAGTATTTGTGTGTGTTGACGGTGTGTAAAGTTATCATGACTATCTACGGAGAAACTAGGTGGACTTGAATATAAGATAACAGCTGTCGACTATGAGTAATATTGTGAGTAGTTTTTGTTTCTTAGATTTTCCTGAGATTGATATTAGTGTTTTCGTAAATTTAATAGCCTGTAGTAGGGAACCTGTATAAGGAAAATCTAAGTGCTTAGACTTGTTTGTGTAACAATACAAGAAGTAGGTAAATACGTTTTTATATGAAATAATTAGTATTCACTGATTAAATTTGTATTTAGTATGGGAGCCTCGGCCTAGGAAAACCGGCGTGAAACAAACACAGCTTTGTTTCACTGTGTGAATAAGGCTACCGGAGGCTCAATCCTTCCCTCCATCATCCGGGCAATCGGCAATCGAGCAACGCCTTCGTAACTCCTCCGTTGTTGCGGGTATCCATGGGTGGTGCTGATTGCTTACCATCATGTAATCCGTTTGTCCCTATCACATAAGAAATATAGTAGTAAAACGATGAATAGGAGGTTCGTTTGGCTTAAAACTTGTTGAGTTATTTTCAGTTAGTTCACGTATTTGAATTGTTAATTTATAAATAGGAGTAACTCAAGTTGCCTGGTTGGTTAAAATAAATCATGATCACGGCTTCGATTTTGTGTTCTGTTCATGTAATAAAGTTAATCAAAGTTTTATTAAGGTATTCTTAATAAAATCCATCCAGAATGAGAATGTCTTGGTAAGAATATAAACACTAAGGAATATAGGAAAATACTATTACGTAATCAAATTCTTTACGATTCTCATCATTTTATCGCTTATTTTAATACTTATCTGATAAGAAGGAAATGCAAACTTGAGTCATTCGTCTAAAAACTATGATTCATTACAAAACAATTTCCTCATGATTAGGTTCTTTTATTTCCTGTAAAAACATTACAATTTGTAAAACAATCAGTATGGTAAATCAATACAAAACGCTTCAAAAAATGTTGAGACATCAAGAGCAATAATATCTTGTTGTTGCAATATCAATTATATTTCTTTTTACTTCATAATTTTACTCGTAACTCTCTTCTCCCAGACAAATTTCTTCACAATCTATCCCAAACATTTGACAACACCACACGCACAAATATATGCATAAAACGCACCGAAGGCAACGGGAACATAAATTGTTACCGCAAAAGCAACACATCACGAAAACCAACTGTTGCTGATATTACTGCAATTCATACTATCACAATGTTGCTAAATTTTTATATTCTTGACATGAATTGTGATAGTCACAGACATTTATTCTAAATAACTATCACAATATTGCCCAATATTCACAATCTTCGAATACTAATGGTGATAGTTGCTTTAAACTATCACAGAATTGCTCCACGCACATAAAACAGCAACGATATTGATATTCGATTGGCAGATTCTTTTCAATATAATGTAACGAAGTTTTAATAACGACAATTAATTGTTGATAAATAATATTCTTTAGAAAATTATAAATATAATAAGTTGACATTTATCATTATGATGCAACAATGACTTATAATCATACTCTATATTTTTATAGTCTTTGGAAATGACAGAAAACAAAAACAGCCTTCATGTTCAAAAGAGTTTTTTTTGTAATACTTAATGCTTGAGGTGTGTTTCACAATGTCTCAAATCTATACTATCTAATATTAAAAAGAGTTAAATGTGGGAGAACCATGTTTCGGCAAGAATGGGTCGGCTCGACCGGAATTGTACCACGGCCTCACAGAAAACTGGCGTGAAATAACCAAAGAGTTGTGTTTCGCCGTGTGAGTCTGGTTACCGGAGGCCCAATCTTTCCCCTACCCCAATCCGTTCCCTTTCCCAAAATCTCCAAATCCCTAATCCCCAAAAGGTCGACAACACCTCCACCACCACGCTGATTGCGTACCATCAGGTAATCCGTTCGCTCGTTTGCCGCCCTATCACATAAAAAGTGTAGTAAAATTGGGAAAAGCTTGATTTAACACAATACCCGCTCAAACTAGGTGATTTTTCTGCATGGGATAAGTTTACAAACATATTTATTACATCCCACCCAAACCCAGAACTGATGATGGATCATTGAGAGCATTCTATACACAAGTGGGCTTTCTTATAATCTTTTTTTTATAGGAGCAGATGTAATTAGAAAACGCCACTATCTTGAAAATTTTGACACAATATACTTTACTAGCTAATCTCGCGCGGTCACACCCGCTGCTCGGCCCCATTTAATCGCAGCGTGATTTTTTATAGCCTATAGCACTCAGGAACATTGTAGCTATATAGTATATCAGTGAAAGAATTTTGGCAATCCGACCAGCGGTTCCAAAGATTACCCCCTACATACAAATTTTACCTCTTTATAATATTAGTATAGATAAGATCCATTAAATAGTAAAGAAATTGAGTATCAGCATTGCACTGGCGTGTCGCTATAGGAAATAAAACAGCGTCAATATAAAATGTACACATATATATTGCAAATCATGTGGTGTGCTTTCTCCAGTGTATATTGAAGCCGGTGTCTCGAAATAACTGGTCGATATCTTCTTTATCCAAGTTTAGGGAGGCCTGAAAACAATAGTTAGTTTCCGCTAGTGATATTACCGGGTTTTTCGAGAGTTAAAAATCGTCAAGTCGCTTCTCCCGTCCTGGAGTAAAGGGTAGTGTCAGATTCTTACTGACTAAAAACTAAACCCTAATCCGGGGAGGGGGTTTTTTGTGAGGGGAACATTACCAAATGTCTTTCGCCCAGAGTGGGGCGAGGGAGAGTGTCAAACTCTTACTGATTTAAAACCCCCCAATTCCTTTTCCTGCTCTAGGTCGAGACCGCGGTGCATTCTTGCGCTAGTCCCGCGATCGCAGCTGAACTTCAGCTCTAGCTCTATGCGATGGTCTATTGAGTCTTTGAAGCGCGCGCGGAACGCCACGCGCCGTACGCTCTGGTCTGATTCTGGTCCGTGCCACTGGTAATTACCAGGTGAAATCTAAATAGACCCCTTGTTTGGACAAAATGCACAGCGGTTATAAAAACCAAAATGTAAATTGCGCAACCAAGTAACTTAGTAAGCCATTTAATTTTTAAGACCTATTGTTAATTATGATTTTTCTGTCACCGCGAATTTTTGTCAATAGTAACTATCGTGAGACATACAAAATTTATTGACTACTACATACCCCTTTGGGCTTCTCCTCGTTATGTGTTCGTTTTTGGAGTCCGACTATATTCCTATATCTGTCTGTCTCCTGTAAAAGAAAAACGGAGGGGAATGGAAACAATTTTTCAACTCCAATAATGTATTTTCATTTATCAACTTACGATATATTCCTTCTTTGGTGGTTTGCCTGTCGATGAATATGTTAGCAGAGCGTTTGCACCCGGTCTGAAAACCAAATTGTTACTATAACGAAAAAAATATAAATGTCTCAATCCCCCCTAAATCTTGCCTCTCACCCTTAAATCCACAATCCTCAGATCCTACAGTCTCCTAAAGTTTGTACGCAACAAAATCGACACCTTTTTGACAATGATTTGCAATCCGCTGTTAACTTTTTGAAGAATCTGAATTCTTAGACGTTATTTAAAAAATATCCTTTTATTGTGATTAGAATCCAGAATTGAAGAATCTTACCTCTGAGGCCTTAGCCTAGTTTGTCTCCATCTTGGCCGGAAGTTGGACTCCTAAAAGTATTTAAGAAAAAATGCAGAAGTAGTTATTGAAATTCAATTTTAGAAGCGCATGCCTTAAACTCCTGGATCACCCAGGAGTTTAAGGCATGCGCTTCTCATACATGAGCCATAAACCCTGGCTAGTAACAATGTGAGAATTGAAGAGGGCAAGCAAAGAATTAGAACAAGAATGATAAACTGGCATACGGTAAAGAAAACATCGCGAGGAAACCTGCACTTATATTTTCTAATTATAAGTTTGAAATCGCCAAACCGCCTTGAGCAAGCGTGATGATTGATTAATGCTCAAATTTTCTCCGTATGAAAAAACTCCTTTGAGCAGTGGGCTCTTAAAGACTGATGATGATGATGATGATGATGATTTTGATAAATATATTTTAAGTACTCAGTCGCCAAGACCTACATTACCATGGAAGATACAAACCTCATGTTCAATATTATCGCGGTCTTCTCTTAAGGTGGGGCGGTACACCTCGAGGAGAGTGCGCGGTACCTGTTTGATTAAGTTAAATAATTTTGAACAACTAAACTACGTACTTCAAGTAAGAGTATGTTTCTATCCTTTTTTGCTTATGATTCTCGCCCAGCGAGAGGAAGTGTCAACTGACTTAACCCTGTTCTTTTTCCTACCCAGAAACTTCCTAATCGGCCCAAGTGGGCCCCATTTGCGTAGCCTAATAGATCTTAAACATATTTTGAACATTAGCCTTGTTGGGCTTCATCTGTGGTTTGTTAGCTTTTAGAGACGCGCGCGGAGCACTACGCGCCTTAGGCTCTGGTCTGATTCTGGGCGGAAAGAGGAGACTGCTTCCTTATTCTTCTCGCTTAGAACTGTGACCTCGACTAGAGCTGGACGCGAGAAAACGCGACCGCTGATCACTTCCCTGAGAACACGGCAATGCTCAGCTCAAGCAGGGCTTGCTGCCACCATATGCTCCACCGTGTCCTCCAATCTACTTATGAGGGATCTTATAAAATCTGTTTAATATTACTAGTTCAGTCACGTCCTCCCTGAGAGTTGGGCGGTACACTTCAACTAATGTCTGTTCCACCGTCTCCGTGGTCTCGGGGCGAGGAGTCGTCAGAGGGATAACCTCCTCCATATTTTCCGCATTTTCTTGGTTTTGGCTGAAAGAAATAACAGAAACCTTACGTATAAAAGTAGATAATTAATTTTACCTAGCGGGATAACTTTGCTAAGTCAAAGTCAAAATCATTTATTCCAACTAAGCAATAAATAGGTACTTTTGAAATGTTAAAACAGAATACTGTTCGTCAGTGAACCTAGGTGCTCGATCCAAAATTGTAGATTCGAATGGAGTAGAACGAGCAAGAAACTCCACAACTTCATAGCTAGGTCGGAGAATACTCCCGAATTTTTCAGCGTTATTTCCTAATCCCCAAAATTTCGAACATTTCTCCCCATTCCTTGCTTCATAAACCGTGGAGCCGGTAACTTGTAACTTTATTTTCAATTTTTGTTGCGCTTCTAATCAAATCAAATCAAATAGTCTGGGTAGGTATATAATTCAAATTCCAGGACCTACTCAGCGTCACTCACCGCCATTGCCCGAAATTAGGTTTCTTCCTAGCCCTCCAGTCGTTCCTTACAACATTGTCGAATTGACTGTTTTCGTAGGAGTTCTGAGCCTCTTTATAGTTCATGTTGAAGTTAACTTTGTTACGGGTCTTTTGTTCTAGCTCCCGATCCAGCTTCTGAATGATAGACTCTTTGACAGTCGTCGATGTCTGCGGCTTGTATGTAGCTTTGCAAGGAGAAAATAACAAAATAATTAGAAGCTTGGGGAGAATAGAAAGAAAAACAAACTTTGCTGACCACAAGCTGTTTGAGATGAAAGATAGAGGAGAAGGAGAAGGAGAAGGAGAAGGAGAAGGAGAAGCAGAAGGAGAAGGAGAAGGAGAAGGAGAAGGAGAAGGAGAAGGAGAAGGAGAAGGAGAAGGAGAAGGAGAAGGAGAAGGAGAAGGAGAAGGAGAAGGAGAAGGAGAAGGAGAAGGAGAAGGAGAAGGAGAAGGAGAAGGAGAAGGAGATGGAGAAGGAGAAGGAGAAGGAGAAGGAGAAGGAGAAGGAGAAGGAGAAGGAGAAGGAGAAGGAGAAGGAGAAGGAGAAGGAGAAGGAGAAGGAGAAGGAGAAGGAGAAGGAGAAGGAGAAGGAGAAGGAGAAGGAGAAGGAGAAGGAGAAGGAGAAGGAGAAGGAGAAGGAGAAGGAGAAGGAGAAGGAGAAGGAGAAGGAGAAGGAGAATGATGTAGTCATTAAATCCCGAGCAAACAAAACACCTTTTCTTGTTACTCCTTGTTACTCCTTAATCATGTTAAAGGAACCTTGGCACATCCCTATTACGAAGTTCAATTGGTGCTTTTACAATTTACGACCTACCTCTTTGGTACATTTTAGTCTCATATTTCCTTGTCTGCAGTGCAGTAAACACCCTAACGGTGGTCGATTTAGTCTTGACCTTGGGTAAAGAAGGTCGTTTCTCTGTCTTGCTGATCCAGAGACTGGGTGTTGGAACATCCCCTACATCGACAGTCACAATGTCAGGGTCATCCTCTTCATCATCCTCGTAATTATCTTCTAGTTCTATTTCTTCTGGCTCAGCGGGAACTGGGTGGCGTACCTGGATGAAATGGACGTAAACAGCAGGTTTTTGGATTGGTATGCTAGACGTTAATATTGCTTTTTCGTTTTATTGCTGGATATAAATTTCGTTATATTGCTCGATATAAATTTGGCGATGAATCTGTTTGTGAAACAAATAACTTGGTTGTTTGAGTGTGGGAGAACCATGTTTCGGCTAGAAAACCAGCGTGAGACAACCACAGCATTGTTTCGCCGTGTGAGTGAGGTTACCGAAGGCCCAATCCTTCCTGCCACCCAGAATCAACGCACTAGTAACTCCTCTGTTGTTGCGGGTGTCCATAGGCACTGAATACTTACTGTCGGGTAAGCCGTCTGCTCGTTTGCAGACCTATCACATAAAAAAAAAACTAGTTGGTCTTCTCTCACCCTCTCTATTTTCGTCGTCTATTTTGATTTCAAAATTACACTAAAACATACCGGTGCACAAAGTAGAGGATAGGCTGTCCTAGGTCTTCTAGCAGTATGTATAGGGCAGGGAGCCATTGGCCCAGCGACCAGGGTCCTTTGTCCCAACATATTTGTGTGGGAGAAGTCGCACACGAGGAGTAGACGGGAATGATGAGCTCCGTGACGCACGGCACCGCAGCCAACTGCTTGGAGGTTCCACACTGCTAGCTGGCTGAAGTGGCCCCAGACTGTGCCCCTGGAAATGCGATGAGGAAATTTCGTGTTATTTAACTTGATAATGACCAACCCAGTGGTTTCAATGGACTTTACTTGTATGGGTATGCTATGTTTTAAACTTCATCGTTTATAAATCGTTGAGCAAATAAAAATGGATCGATATTTCTATGCCAGGATTATCACAGAAAACCATAGAATACAAAAGTTTTGACCTGAATTCTAATTTTCGTCAAATGATGCATCCCCAACACTAGTTGATATAACTGAATAAGTACCTAAGCTTTAATTTACTTATTAAACTTCTGGGTACTACAAAATTACTTTACCATATTGACATCATCCTCTTTCATATTGACATCATCACCATATTGGCTTCATCTAGTTTTATACATATGAATTTGACGTGTAGGTAATAAATAAAAAATTCATTGTTTCATTGACACCTTAATAAACCTAAAAGCTTCTACTTATTTTTAATATGAGCAAAAAGAAGAACTTGTTACTTACTTGGCAGTAAGTCTAAATGGAGCTGTAAGTTGTTTGGGCTGTACGCGCCGTCGCTCCCCCCACCAGGCATCCAGCACGCGTCGAATAGCGCGCTGCGCGCTCAGCTCGTCTGAATCACTGGAGCGACGCCATCGTACCTCGCCTACTGTCTGACCAGCGTAGGGGTAGCGGACTGGAATATCAAGGGACAAGTAGACTTTAAGGCCTCCTCTACATTTCTCGCGAACTTCCTCAGCGCTTACTCGACCAACTTTGGCTAAAGTCTGAAGACACTACACACTCACTCGACTTAGCGATCACCTCATTTATTCTTATTCATGAGCATCTTCAGCCTCAATCGGGCGCAAACACCAAAAAACAAAATTAAAATTAAATGAAAGGTGCTGGAGGCGAAACAAGATTTGACGAAGGTAAAGCGAAGTGCCTATCTAGATCGGCATTCATCTAACCTCGTTGGCTTCGCAAGCCAGGTAGAGAAGGCTTTTGAAAAGACGTGCTTCTGAAAACCTGATTGCATGAGAAGCTAACACCAATTTCGACATATCATTGGATACAGTTCTATACTCGCCCTTTATATCAAATTAGCTACTCTCGCACGGTTTCCCCCGCTGCTCGGCTCCATTTGATCGTAGCGTGATGTTTTATAGCCTATAGCACTCAGGAACATTGTAGCTATCTATCAGTGAAAGAATTTTGGCGATCCGACCAGCGGTTCCAAAGAAGAATCCCCCTAAATACTTTGAATAGAATTTTCAAATCAAACCAAACAAGACTTTCTTTTTTTTGAAAATTATGTGGACTAAAAAATGTTTGCTTAGGCGTATTTAACAGCGTTCGAAATATTAATGAAGATAAATATACCATACCAGTAGCTCTGCAGTCGTCGTGTACAAAATGACACTGATCTGCCAGCCTTTGAGCAAGAAGTGCTAATTCACGATCCCATTCCTGCAATTTAAACAGACCCTGATCTATCCTGAATTCATACATACATCAGGCTATAGCTACCCACTACTGAGCAAAGGCCTTTTCTCACACGGAGAAGGATTGGCGTTTATTTTACCAAAAAAAAAAATAGTCTGGGATAGGCTATCAGGAACATCTGCTTCTTAGCTTTCTGTTACGTCAGATCAGCGATAAAAATCATATGATGACGTCACTAATCCTATAGGTATAGAAGATAGAAAAACGGAATAAGTAATGTTGAGCAGTAGACCGCCAGACATTATCATCTCGCCTGGTCGGAGGATCCCCCTTTCCTTTACTCTCTGATCCCCAAAAATTTAACAAGAGTCCTAATCCGCTTCCATATTCCATCCATAGGACGCGACGATTGGTTACTATCATACCATTCGTCGTCATAGTCATAGTTCATAGTCGTCGTATTCTGTCGCCCGTTTGCTACAATATTCCATAAAAACAAAGTTCCGAAAAACAAAATGACCATTCATTTGTATCTTCTTATCTACAAGCAATTTAACGTGTAGGTAATATCTGACGCCGTTTGACCGTTTCTATAGTTAAAAAATGTCTTAAGCTATGAATATTAATATACTTACAACTAACATCATAATTTGTGGCTTCGGAAGATGGACACCACCACGTACTCTCTCATTTCCAGCAGCGATGCGCTGACGACGTCTATCAAAGAGAAATTTTGGAAGTAATGCTATGGAATTATACAGGATATTTATATATTTTATAAAGGATTTGGCTGCTTACCGGTTTAGGTAGTGCGTGATGAAATGTTTCAAATCATTTGTGAATTTAATTTGTGTGTAGCGTTCACATGACGGTCCGGGGCCAGCCTGAAATCACCGTTACATTTATATTTATAAAATGGACCAGCCAACGCATGTACTTACTTATAACTCTCGAATTATTGCACCGAATTGGATTTTTCTTTTTTGTAGTATTTTTTATCGTTAGGACAATGTTTCTGTCACTCCTTCTTTCTGCTTTTGTGTATGTGAACTGTACGTATATTCTGTGTGTAATAAACTTTCATATTTTCTGTTGTTTACCCTTGAACTTTTTTCTTCGCCCTCCTACCATCGCGGTACCCTCAACATACCTGCAGTAGCAACAAACAAGTAAGTATACTCATGGTAATCACATCAGGAAATTGGCAGGCAATGTGTCGACCCTTCCCCTGGCAGAGTCTCCTGTATCTGACTGCGCAGTACTGGTGTTCCTCGGGAATGGCCACCACGAGGCTTACAACTGACATCCACATCAAAAACCAACGGGACATGACGAGTTTAGCTGGAAAGAAGGACGCGAATTACTTCTGGAGAAAAACGTATCTAGCTATTTTTTCAAAGGTTGTTTTTCGAGAAGGGGATATGGATGATGCCTCAGCGTAGCGTTTCTCCGTATGAGTGTTGTATCTGAAGACGCTGTCTCTTCATTTCTACCCAACTCATAAATCTCAGAAACCCTAATCCTAAAAGGCTGGTGAAGGACTCGCAAGTCCTCTGGCGTTGCGAGTGTCGATGGACGACGCCGCTTGCTTACCATCAGATAATCAGGCTACTTGTTTGCCACACAAAAAAAGTCACAGTTACAGATTTGGGGATTGTGCCGAATGGCTCTCCCACATTTCCACGTATTTTAGATCACTCAAATCTAAGTACACTAGATTTATCACCGCTGCAGATTATCAGTGGCTGGTAGACTATCAGCCCTTATGAAGGAACTTAAAGAACCTATATGCACATATAGGTAGGTATTAAACAAACAAGAACTCACCGATTACGAAACTTTAGAATTAACACTGAAATACCACATAATAAAAATGGATAAAAATACAATACTGAAATACAAAAATGCGACGATACTACATAACTTTTGCGTAAAAATTATATCAAAAGTTTCAGCGGTAGGTTAGCCAGCTGTTTACAAAACCTACAAAATTGTCACGTTGACAGGACATAAAGAATAATTCTGTGTTCTGTGTTTTTGGATCAAGAAGGTTGCATTTGTATGTCAGATTATAAAAAGAAGGTTTAATAAACATAAACACTTATATTGTGTTTCGCCGTGTGAGTGGGGGTAATGCCTGTAGCACACCTCCGCTTCGAAACTCAAAGGGCGAAACCGCCATAGTTTCGCTGTTAGTTGTTGGGCGGCGAAACAATAGCGAAATTCCCTGCTCTAACGTACAAAACTGACTATGGTGTTGTCTCTTTCTAACATGATTTCGTTAATTTGCTTAGGCGCCGTCTACACCTCCGCCCTTTGTCCGCCATTTTGGAGCGGTTTCGCGTGTATCTCGGACGCATCTGTAGCAATCGACAATTTTTATGAGTGAAATAGGAACAATGGTTTGTTTGTACTTTACTGATAAACTTATACAAGCAGTGAGAAGTAGACCTGTTTTGTACTTACTAATAGGTTTCGCCTAAGTGAAGTACTGTTGCACAGCGAAACTCACCAGCGCATTACCAGAGACGACTTACAAGAAGCCGGAACTGCTTCTGTATTAGGAGTGTCCCTGTCCATGGGCGGCGCCAATTGCTTACCACCAGGTAACCGGAGAAATTGTTTGCCGCCCTAGCTCAAAAAATCAAATAGTAATACTAAGTATACACATAGTACATTATAGTAATACTAAGTTAGAATTTTTTAAATCGGTTAAGTAGGTTCGATCCCAACAAACTGATAAATATTCCTTTTTGATAATTTATAGGTATATACAGGGTGTAAAAAGACACTTAACGAAGCCGTTAACTACACATACTGCAGTTCTAACTAAGTAGTTTTACGCTAAAATTATCACTGGGAAACGACTTTTATTTTTAGGTACCAAAAAAATTATAATTTTATTGCGCGCAATGTAAAGCAAACGGGCTTCGTGTCATTGTGTGCGTAGGTTCACAGCTTAGCATTAAAACGCTGTGATAAGTATGTAAGGGCTTGAACCCTTACAGTTAATGTTGGATGTTAATAAAATAAATGTTAATGTTTAAAAAGGTATTTTAATACGAAAATGCACTAAAATAAAAAGAAATTAATTAAAAATGTTATAAAAAATGTTAAAATGTTAAATGTTGCGCGAGCTCGATATTATACCGAAGACTGGCCTACTTGAGTACGTGACTATCTTATATTTTATTATAAATTAACATAATTTGCAGTATTCTAACTAGGCCAAATCAAAGTACAATGTGCGGTTGCTTAACCGTACATCTTGGCGGGGCAAAAAATTAAGAAAACTTATAAAATATCCTATCAATGTAAATAAATTCATGTAAAACAAAATGTAAATAAAATTATAAAAATGTAAATAAAGTTATATGTTAAAAGAATGAGGTGTCGCGTAGGTAGATGCTGTAGCTCTTGGTGGTTTTTGGGGCGGTGATCTGATTGGCGTGTCGGCGGCGCTGACGGCGAGCTTGCCGCAGCGTTTGTAGTACACGTAGGCTCCTCCCGCGACGAATATGGACAGGATCAGAAGTCCCATCGTAGAGTACGAAACGATGTATTGATGGACATCGTGTTGCGACATTTCAGTCTGTTTGGTCTGATCTTCTAATTCTTTTAACGAATTATGAAGTTTTTCATAATCGTTTTTCACAAAATGCGTGTTATGTTGGCTTGTTGATAAGTCAAGCGGTTGTATCGATGTTAAATTGTTGATGTCATCCAGGTCTATCAATGGTATTTCCGGGTTGACATAAATTTTGTTCGTGTAATAAACTTGTGTGTAATATGTTTCTTCATTATTTCTAATTATGCATCCTTTTTTGGCTTCTAAAATTCCCGTTGACCGTATTGCCTTAGTGGTCATACGACCTTCACAGATGATCTGCAGTTGACAATCCGTGCAGCAGACATAGAGCCAGGTATTTGGTTTTTGTAATGTTATCCATTTGTTGTTGCACGACTCGGATGTGTAGATACATTTTGATAATGTAATATTTGTTATTGCGCCGATTTCGCATGGAATTTGATGATTTCGCATGTTGCGTGTTGGTTTGTTCAGTGAGCATACATATGTCCTTGGTTCTATTTTAATACAATGTTCCAGGTCACTGTTTGTTAGCTGCATGTATGTCTCTTTTCTCACATTTACTGCAACATATTCTGAGTTAGTTTTCATTGTAATTGACTGGTTGTTATTTTTGATCATAGGAATGGGAATTGTTTTATATATAGTGAATGGGGTGTCGCCCGTTAGTGGTAATGTTATTTCGATGATGAAATACTTATCAAATAATCTAGATTTTACTTCAAGTAGTTTGTAAATATCGGCTAATTGGTTTTGAATGTTGTCAACGGGTAGCGATAATTGTTGTGGCAATTGTCCAGATATAATGTTAAGCTCCTGAAAGAGTTGGTTCTGCGGTAAAAGTCTGGTGTCTACATGACCATGGTGAATGTTAATAGCTGTGTCTAACAGCATCTGTTGTATGTGGCGGAGTTTGGACAGAATTGTTGAACTTGTCAGAGCCATGATGTTAAAGTAGTTCAGCGCTTCGTCTTGTTGAACAGCTTCGTTCAATTTCTTTAGATAGTTCTCTGTTGCATTAAGGTGTTGCTCTAATAGATTGAACTGAGAGTTCATTGCTTCTTCGTTTCTCTTTAAAATGTTATTGTGTGCCTCAATTATTGAGGTTTGACTTTTGATCAGATTTAATAAATGGTCTCTGTTGTTATGTAATGTTTCTATGTCCTTTTTATATTGTGTTGCGAACCTTTCATCTAGCACGCCGAATAGGCTGTTTGCAAGGTAACCTACTCCATCGACGAGGCCTCGGGTAACGCGCCCCCTGGTTTGCCCATGATGAGTTTCTAACATGTAGTTGTTATGATCTAGTTCATTGAGTTCCTGTTCGAATTCAGTCATAATTGTTTTGCACAGCGTTTGGTAAGCAAATTGCTCACATCTTTCTCCTAGGTGTTTCACAACTCTATGTATATTTTCCATGCCTTGCCAGTAAGTTGTCATGTTATAATAAGTTACTATCTTCCAGTCATCATGTACGGTTTGCAAATTGCCGATTTTGTCAAAATACACCCCTCTATTTGGTTCAAACGGCGTGACGTTTATGCCGTCACTGCTCTGCCTTGTGGGCTGAAATAATGTTAGCAATGTTACGAGGATACATAGCAGGCTGGAACTTATCTTGCTTGATTTAAAACGTTGTTTAGTATTATTTGTTACAGCCTTTGTGGTTCACTGCAGCTTTTGTCATTGGAGGTGGTGGTGTCAGGTACTTCTATAGGAGAATTTGGTACTGGGAGTTTCACTAATTTTGTTATTGGTCTTGTTAGTAGTCCTGTTTTAGTTTTTAACGTCACTACTCTGACCAGATTGTCCTTCCCAGGGTGAACTTCCTGTATTCTGCCAAGTGCCCATTTCGCAGGAGGAAGGCAGTCTTCTTTAATTAAGACAATATCCCCTATTGATAAATTATTTGTTTTGTTAAGCCATTTACTACGAACTTGAAGTTGTTGCAGGTATTCTGATGACCATTTGCTCCAAAACCCTTGTTTCATTTTGTCTAACAACTGCCACCTATGTCGAATGTTGATGTTTTTATTTTCGATATTTTCCGTAGGTAAGAATGTTAAAGGTCGGCCAATTAAAAAATGTGCAGGTGTAAGGTAATCAATATCGTCTACATCCTCTGTTAAGGGGCAAAGTGGTCTAGAGTTCATACAGGCTTCTATTTGCGTAAGAAGTGTTAGAAACTCTTCGTATGTCAACTTTTGCTCTCCTAGGACACGCTTTAGGTGATATTTCATAGACTTAACTGCAGCCTCCCAAAGTCCTCCCGCAGTCGGCCAGCTTGGGGCGTTGAAATGCCACTCTATCCCCATCTCGTTACACTTTTTCGATAAGGTGTCGTTGTTAAATGTTTGGGATATATGCAGTTGTTTGGCTAACTCCCTTTCGGCTCCAACAAAGTTTGTTCCGTTGTCCGAATAAATATGTTTTGGACAGCCTCGTCGCCCAATCATGCGGTTGAGAGCCAGTATAAATGTTTGCGATGATAAATCTGATGCAAGTTCTAAATGCACCGCCTTTGTTGTCATGCACACGAATACAACGACGTAACCTTTACTCGTTCTGACGCCCCGGCCCTTGTTTAATTTAACATTAACAAACCCTGTGAAGTCCACACCTGTGTGATAGAATGGTGGTGATTGTGTTATTCTCTCCCTGGGTAGGTCAGCCATTAATTGGTATTGTTTGGTTGGTTTGAAGCGACAACATTTAACACAGTCTTGCAGGTATTTTTTCAC